AAAAAGAGAGGAAACTAGGTTTTGTTAAATTTGGGTTTGATGGGCTGCTCAATATTGGGCTGGGCTTATGAGTTTGGTTTAGTAAATTTTATCCTCAGCTTTTTAATTTTTTCAATTGAGTCCCTTTCTTGTTTTTTTTCTTCAACTTCTCCCCCAAATTTTTCATAAAATTTTTTATAACGACAAATCCGAAACGGTACGCGAAAAATTCTGGTATCCGGTACGTACCGTTTCAGTAACAAAACCGGTACGCATGCCGGTACGGTATTGACTACTTTGATTTATCTACTGATTTTGAGATGAATCTATGAAGAGCTGCCACTCTCCCTGTCAACCTCTGCACATCTTTTACTGACTTCGGTGGCTCCATCTCAACTATTGCTTTGATCTTCTCGGGGTTAACCTCAATTCCCCTTTTGGACACCATGAAGCCTAGAAAATTTCCAAACTCCACACCGAAGATGCATTTTGCTGGATTCAACCTCATTCTGTTCTTTCTGAGATTGTTGAATGTCTCTTCAAGGTTGGTTAAATGATCTTCAGCTTTCAAACTCTTCACCACTATATCATCAACATAAACTTCCAGATTCCGGCCTATTTGAGCTCGGAACACGATGGTAACCATCTTCTGGTAAGTGACACCTACGTTCTTTAAGCCGAAGGGCATCATCACATAGCAATAGATTTCATCACCGGCATAGAACAAGGTTTTTTCTTCATCTTCAGGAGCCATTGGAACCTGGTGGTAGCCAGAGTATGCGTCTAAGAGACTTAATCTCTCGTTTCCAGAAGCTGCCTCAACCAGCTTATCAATGTTTGGCATTGGGTAACAGTCTTTTGGACACGCCTGGTAGCCGTAGTCTTGTTCTTTTTTAGGAAATAAACAATAACAAGTGTTTTAATTTTAAACATTTAGAAATGATTCATTCATATAATACAAAAAGAAATTCTTTAGTGAGAAACGAGAGATTTACCTTCTGAAGACATCTCCTCAATTTCTGCATATAGTAGGAGGAGGAACGGAGTCATGATTCTTAAAAAATTTTAACACACACTTAATAACATTCTCCTTCCCAACCCTCACTTCCTTTAGAAAAACCCAAAATCAAAAACAGAAAGGGAGAAAGCAGAATAGCACTTCGGAAAAATCAAAATAAAAAATTAACAACCTTTACCTGATTTTGATCTTGGGAAACTGTTGTTGAAGTCTCAATCGAAGCACAGACCGCACGAAAACGCAGAAATTTAGCAAGAATTTGGTAGCAAAATCGCGAAGGTAAAAACCCATTTTTACAAAAATATTGCCTTTTATACTAAAGGCAAAATACGCCTCAACGGCTGTAATTAACTCCATCTAACGGTTACGAAGACACCGATTCAAATTCGACGGTTAACCCCAAACGGCACCGTTTCGAACTCGACGGTTCATTTTTTAAATCTGCCCGTTTGACTGTTGCAGTTATCTTTTTACAGCCGCATTTATTGCGCACGTCATTCAAAGGATAGCTGTCACATCATATACTGCTTCTTTGTCAGACTTCTCAGACGGGCCCATTTAAGCCCATTTCAACACCCTTGCTCACTTTTACACGTTCTCAATTTTTGCAAGTGTTTCACTTCGGCAAACGACCTGATGTCTCCGGTCATATTTGTCTCTTCGGCTCCGGCTACAGTGACCCAATGCCACACGTTTCACTTCGGCTCCGGCCACAATAACCCACTGCCACACGTTTCATTTCGGCTCCAGCCACAATAACCCACTGCCACACGTTTCATTTCGGCTCCAGCCACAATAACCCACTGCCACACGTTTCACTTCGGCTCCCACCACAATGACCCAATGTCACATGCTTTGCTATGGCTCCGGCCACTATGACTCCGGTCATCACTTTTTATTATGGCTCCGGCCACTATGACTCCGGTCACCACTTTTTATTATGGTTCCGGCCACTATGACTCCGGTCATCACTTTTTATTATGGCTCCAACTACTATGACTCCGGTCATTACTTTTTATTAGGGCTCCGGTCACTAACTCTGGTTATCATTTCTTATTATGGTTCCGGCCACATTGACTCTGGTCATTACTTTTACCACGGCCACGACCCTGATCTTTTCTGTCACACTTTATTTTGGGCATGACCATCACGATCCCCTATCTCATACTTCACTATTAACTACAGTCATACATACATATGAGTTGCAGGTTTTTATCTTTATTTTTACTTCTGTATCTCATCTTTAATAACTTTCTATTTATACACTACTCCCATTAGCTCCAACAACATCATTCACAAGTGAATGACTTCAGGGGGGAATAGTGTAAGGATAGGTTCGAGGTGCCCAGCCTCGGACGTGCGACAATAATTTCTTTATGACCGAAGTGAAGGATAAATCCAAAGCTTCCCGCTCAAACAACTGCATGACAGCGACAATAAGCATGCCCACACCTGATTCTTTATGATGAGCTGCACAACAGTTGTGATGGACACCCTTGCATCAGAATATCTCTCAAATTTCCGGTCCCGAAATAACCGTTTGGGTAGACACGTCAGGCTCCGATTATCTTGCTTGGCATGCCACGTGGGTTCCTCACTTAAGCCTATAAATACCCCTCAAGGGTCATGTCAAAAAGGTAATTGAAATCAACCCTAAACTCCTTTTATCTCCGCTCTAAAGGTAGCCCCGATTATTGCTGACTTAAGTATCAGAGTGTCTACCCCGAGATCCATCTCGGGGCTTTGTAGGTCAATCCGGAGTGCAGACGCAGACTGAAGAAGGACTTCTGGTTTGGTGCAATTACAAGTATCAAAAAGAACTTAATCTTAGTAAACAAATTACGTAGTTGATGGCAGAATATATTTAAATATACTCTCAAAATTAGGCAATAAGGACAAATTTATTCAATAAAAAATGAGGATAAATTCACTCATAAAATTTTTAATTTGAACAAATTATCTCAATTAACATGTGATATCAAATACCAACGAGGGGTTGGATTAAGTGGCAAGCGGTTTGTTCCAGTTTAAGCAAGATCTCGAGTTCGAGACCTTGTGTACGCAGCAACCTTCGTTGGGAAACCCACCCACCATTCTAGTGTGCCACAGCTGGTCGAGTCCGGAGTAGTCGGGGTGAAGCCCCGGATACCAGGCTGAAAACCAAAAAAAAAAACATGTGATATCAAATAAAGTCAACAATTCATTGATTTATCATTGCTAATAAGTTTATTATTAATGAATTGTTCACATCATCTAATATCACATATTAAATTTAAGATGATTTATTTAAGGGCCTGTTTGGTACAGCGATTAAAATTCAACGGATAGCGGGTAGCGGGTAGCGGATAACGGATGCTGAAAAATGGATAACGGATGATAAATAGTGGATTTGATAAATATAACTGTTTGGTTATGCAATAGTTAACGGTTATTATTTAATATTAAATGACTAATAAGGACATGTTTAAAAACAAATAAGTATATTTTTTTAAATATTTTTAT